TGTGTGGATGACAACGACTGCTACATCAATGGTTCCTTGTGCTGCAAGGGACGGTGCATGTGCACCCCAGGTCTCAGCTACCACAAGGCGGGACAAGCATGTGTCAGGAGTGAGTCTAGAAGAATAGTCCTGTGGTCTAAATCTGACTAGACTAACCAATCACTTTTTCGAGACGCAATTAATTAAACAACCCCATAGTAGACTTTCTTGACAGAAATATACTGTAAAACGTGAAATTAATGCGTCTCCAAAAGAATGCGACTGCTGGCCCCTTGCCAAAAAAGCGACTCAATATGAATGCGACACCCCCTCCTCTCAAGCATCTGTGGATTTATATCTAAACAAAATGTCCTCTGTCAGGTTTACAGGAGGATCCTCACCTTAATCCAACCTTACATTAATCCAATCACACACCAAATAGCACCGCTTATTAGCGCTGAGTAGAGTACCTCAGCTGAAACAATACGTGCGCGCTGGCTCGTGTCGGCCTTTGATGCAGTCGCAAAGAGCAGTATGTGAATTCATGAATCAAGGTGACATCACAGCCCACATGATATGAAAGCTACATCAGTTCATGGAGCATCAAAATGTAGAGGGTTAATCATTTCCAATGACTCAAATGAACAGCTTCCTTTACACACATGGAGGGTGAAACAGCATGCTCCCCGTTGGTGACCTGTGTCTGACGTTGCATACATAAATGATACTCCACATGTTAGGAAATTTCTCTCACTGCAAAGACGATTATATTTTAAGCTGCAGCTCGATGTCAACAAAGGATCGTCCTTGTTGTGAGAGTCCAGTGATCTCTTCTGAAGTGGGGGTCGGTCGTGTAGCCTCATGGTTAAAGCGTTCGCTGGTCACGCCGAAGACCTGGGTTCGATTCCCAAAATGGGTACAATGTGTGAAGCTCATTTCTGGTGTCCCCGGCCGTGATATTGCTGGAATATTGCTAAAATCGGTGTAAAAACATAATCACTCACTCACTCTTCTCAAGCGCGAGATCATTTTAGTGAGTGAGTGCGTGAAATGGCTACGACGCCTGTTTGAACAGATTTCAGTTACATCACGACGAGTTTGCTTGATGAGATGATACACATGCAACCTGTCGACGTATGGGTATCGCGACGTCGACAAAGGATCCTGAGAAAGAGAAATCGATAATTGGATCGTAGGAACGAGAGATTGTGTGACTGAATGATGTCATGATTTACTTACAAACACTGGAAACATATTGCTTTTCTTTGTCGCTCTTTCAATAATGTCAAGTAATTGCAAAGGAATTGCATATACAGTCGAACCTCGTTATCTCGAAACTAACGTGACTGTGTTGTAATTTCGAGATATCCTGACTTTCGAGATAACGAGACAGGAGCATCAAGACAGATCATGTAGCAGAGGTGAGGTGAAATTGGGTTTAACGTCGCGTCCAAGATTATTGCACTTATATAGCAACGTGCATGCACGTGTGTGTGTTTGTGTGGCTGCTTGTACTAGTCTGGACTGATGCCGATTTATAGTGCTAGCTCACTGAGATACCATGCCGCAGTTTAACATAGATACCCCACTCAGACACAGTATACGACTCCGAGCCGACCAGTCCTTGTTTTAGCCCCTTATTGCCGAGCGCCAGACAGGGTAACAACAAGTACCATCTTTTAATGTCTTTTGGTATGACGCGGTCGAGGATCGAACCCCGGACCTTCCGCTCTCCGGGCGGACGCTCTACCACTAGACCACGGAGGCGGTCCCGTGGTAACGGCATGTATGGTGTAGTGGTAGACGTAACTGTTAGTGATATGGTAGTCACATTCATAAAACAACGGCATTGGATGTAGGGCTGCGGTGGAAGTCAAACTAGCAACCATAGAAATAGCGGCAGATTGGTGTAGGCGGTGTTTAGAGACAGTGGAGGTAGTTTTAGAGCTTTCCAGAATGTTCTCGAATTCAGAGTTATTCGCCCTTGTTGTGTACATGAACACTTCTGATTTGATCGATCGAGCAGTTTCCGGATGGGGCAGTTCCTAGAAGGCTGGCAGTACCAATATAAGAGAGACAAGAACGCGATTCCAGACCTTTTGACCTGACTTGTTTTTTATCTAATGATCAAGCGCGGTTTGGATACATGTTTGAAATCAACGAATTCCTGCCGACTTCCAACACTTTTCTGGACTCTTTCAAGACATTCAACAGAGACAATATTCGGAACATGTCGTGAGTGCACTCAGCTAACATTAATTCAAGAGCCTGAGACTGTCACTTATTTGGCCCATTGCCTTTCTTATTGTAACTGTGTGTTGGAATATAATGGTTTGATTATTCAGAGATCTTGTGTAATGATTTACTGATTTCATTGTTTCGTTCCATGGTTCTGGGAGATGAAGCAGTATTAGCCTCTTCGTTTTATTTGATCGATAGATTGTGGTACTATTAAATTTCCTTTTGTGCAGATTTGTTTGTTATCAGCATGCCCAACTGATAGTTTACCTGAATTCATGGTAGGGGTATCCGGTATTGGTAGTGCTATGTTTTCTCCTTCCAGTTTATTTGCTGTGGGCCTACTCCAACTGAGAATCCCCACAGGTTGCTGTGGACCTACTCTATCTGGGAATCCAAAAACGTTGCTGTGAACCTACTCTATCTGGGAAACCTCACAGGGTGCTGTGGACCTACTCTATCTGGGAATCCCTACACGGTGCTGTGGACCTACTCTATCTGGGAATCCCTACACGGTGCTGTGGACCTACTCTATCTATGAATCCCACAGGGTGCTGTGGACCTACTCTATCTGACCATGCCCACAGGTTGAAGTGGACCTACTCTATCTGGGAACCCCACAGGTTGCTGTGACCTACTCTATCTGGGAAACCCAAAAAGGTTGCTGCAGACCTAATCTATCTTGGAATGCCCACAGGTTCCTGTGGATCTACTCTATCTGGGAACCCCACAGGTTGCTGTGACCTACTCTATCTGGGAAACCCAAAAAGGTTGCTGCAGACCTAATCTATCTTGGAATGCCCACAGGTTCCTGTGGATCTACTCTATCTGGGAACCCCACAGGTTGCTGTGACCTACTCTATCTGGGAAACCCAAAAAGGTTGCTGCAGACCTAACCTATCTTGGAATGCCCACAGGTTCCTGTGGACCTACTCTGTCTGGGAATCCCCACAGGTTGCTGTGGACCTACTCTATCTGGGACTCCCCACAGGTTGCTGTGGACCTACTCTATCTGGGACTCCCCAAAGGTTGCTGTGGACCTACTCTATCTGTGAATCCCCACAGGCTGCTGTGGACCTACTCTATCTGGGAATCCCCACAGGTTGCTGTGGACCTACTCTATCTGTGAATCCCCACAGGCTGCTGTGGACCTACTCTATCTGGGAATCCCCACAGGTTGCTGTGGACCTACTCTACCTGGGAACCCCACAGGTTGCTGTGGACCTACTCTACCTGGGAACCCCACAGGTTGCTATGGGCCTACTCTATCTGGGAATCCCCACAGGCTTCGGGGTTAGATTTGGAATCATTGAATTGCAAACAAGAGTTAAGTTTTACATTTTTGGATTGGACGGTATGTGACGCACTACATCCAATGACATAACCCTCTTTCGGTTTAGACGAGCCAAATAGAAACATTTCCTTGGGTATTACAATTCCTCTCCCATACATCCCGTTACAATGCCGATTGAATACGTTTTGCATTTGTCTGTTACACTTGTGTCCAACTCTGGTCTGTGGCTCCAGTCGGAAGTATGAATCAATCCGTTGTCTCAACAATGCTGTGGTTTCATAAGTTTCTGTACCACTCGAAAAGAGGCGCATGAACGTGAAGTTAAATCCAGTAATATCCCGTAAGTTTTGAATAGATGACTTATTGAGTGGACCTGCAAGGCATTTAACATAATTACTTTGTAATATTGATGATTGATATTATGACGTCGGCAATGAATTTGAGGAAATCGTGATTGAGGAAGTTATCATTCCCCGGCTTACAAACTAGCACGCATACATGTTTTTAACCGATAACATTTGTGAAAAAGATTCAAAGCCATTTCACACGGTGAATGATTTCCTTGAATAAAGCAATAACTCCGTGTAAGGTCAGTCTATACGTAGTTAAAACAGAACGCAGATATACAACTATTTTTGAATTCATGCAGTATTATATGGATTTTAAACAAATATCTCAGAAACGTTATTGAAACAATCTGTTGTTCCCCTGGCCGGGGCTTTGTATTGAAGGGATCAACAAGGACCGGTCGGCTCGGAGTCAGTGTAGTGTCAGTCTGTGTTGGCCGGGGTATTTGTGTAATCTGTGATGTGGTATATCTGTGGGCAACCAGTATCCAGTCGGTACATGACGCTCTAGTGACTACACCACGGAGGCTGAAAACATTTATAATAATACTGGACTACATACTTTAATTATAATAAGACCATACCACCTTTAATCCGTAGCAACTTGGGGGTTGTCGTAGTGTTTTGTTTTGGTATCAAAGTCCATAAGGCAACGATTTAGGCAGGTGCACGTTCCAATGAAACTATCGCAGTACTATTGCAATGCTTTAAAATGGATTGTAATAGAATCACAAAAACGTTTCCAGTTATCGCAATGCCACTGCAATAGTGAAATGCGCTCACTTGTCACATCGATTTGAAACATATTATAACATAGATTAACTTCATGATTTTATTGAAAAGAAAAGAATTATACAATACATGCATAGTGCTGTTGAGTTGAACTGTGGTAAACAGCTTGTGTACATAACACTGCTACATAGGGGCATTTGTAAGAATTCCAACGTTGTCAAGGAATGTGTGAACAATAATTACAATTGAACTCCGAGTATCAGTATTTCAGTTCAGTTCCTTTAAGGCCAAGATTACATATAATCCTCAACCACGTCATAAAATATCAAAGTTGTCAAGGAAAGTGTGAAGAATAATTTCAATTGAAGTCCCAGTATCAGTATTTCAGTTCAGTTCCTTTAAGGCCAAGATTACATATAATCCTCAACCATGTCATAGAAGGTGGCAGTGTAGTCCTTTCTTCTCTTCAAGGACGCGTAGCCAATTTCTGATGAAAGGTCAGCATGACAGTATACATCATCTAATAAAAAACAAAGCAACTAATGTCCTTATCTGTAATATCATTTGCATAGTATTTTCTTTTTTGATGTTCTATATTTATGGTCCGAAAGTAATGATGTTTCTTGAACTGTTAATTACAGATAGCACATCTACAACATATTGATGTTATGGCAGAATGTTCAACTGCACCACGACATATTAATATCTCATTTGAAAACTTAAGCCCAAGCATGATGCAAATATTATTTTCAAAAGCTGTTTTGGATGCTTACCTCCAGGCCCTGAACCAATTGATGTTACCGGTGCTGGTTTATCTGGGTCGTCACTACAAGAACATAAGCATAATCATTCCAGTCTGAATAGGATCCAGAAATAACAAAACATAATATCGGAGAGATTCGTACTTAAGCAGTAATAAAAAGCATGATGCTACTTTAAAAAGCACTGAAAGAAAATAGTTTACCAACCTTTCGTGATTTTCATTTGTGCGTCCACCTTTAGAATTAATAAAAAATACATTGTGTTAAGTATAAACTGTGTATGGTGTGCAATGTATTTTTTTATCACTATGAAAGTCATTAGTAATGGTCGTGGCTTTATCGTCTTATTTCATAACACACAGTTGGCCATAAGTAGTTTTCCATTGCACTAATAACATCGTGGTAATATTTCCAGATGTGTATCACACTTCTGAATGTTGCAAAATTCTGCGTATTTCTTTGTAACATTGGCTTGTTGGTATGTCGTTTAACGCCGCACTCAGCAATATTCCAGCTTTATGACAACGGTCTGTAAATAATCGAGTCTGGACCAGACAATCCAGTGATTAATATTATGAGCATCGATCCACATAAATTGGATCGATGACATGCATAAACCAAGGCAATGGGCTTGAGCACCCGATCCCGTTAGTCGCATCTTACAACAAGCATAGTCGTCTTTTACGGCAAGCATGGGTTCCTAAAGTCCTATTTTAACCCCGGATCCCCGGGTCTAGTTTGTAACAAAGCACAGTAACAAAAACAGTACAAAGTAAAAGTAAAATGTCTCAGAAAATAAATATTCAAGGCATGATTATCATTATATTGTGATACGTTATTCTATTACCTTAACAAGGTGATACCTCCAACTGGGACACTGTCTAGAGTTCAGACATATCCGAAAATAGGATAATAGTTATGGACTACATGTCGACATGTATCATGGCTTCGTGGCATTCATTCACCTGATGAAGGAGTAAGCACGTTGTGTTCCTCATAATACAGAAGATGAGATCCATATAATCTCTTCTTTAGTAATACCTTTATTGCAGTTCAGTTGTTCAAGGCAAGGTGCCATGCATGTAATATATTGGAAGCTATACAGTTCCACACAGCATTCATTTGGAGGCAGGGATGCTGGTGTATCAGGGTCTGGATTAAAGAAGGGGGAGGTTCACTGGTGGAGGTAGAAGGAGTAAACGGTCTACCTGAACTAGGGCAGTATCTGCAGATGCTCCAGAAGCCCAGGCAGAGGCTGATGACCATAAACATGGTTCCCATACCGAGGACAAGGGAGGACAACTGGAGGCCGGCTGAGGGACATTCTGCATGTTCTGGAACATCAAGACATGTAGCAATACTGTTCGGGCAGTTCTGATTGAGCGCTTTCAACATAAAGGCCGCCTCCGTGGTCTAGTCTGCCCATAGAGCGGAAGGTCGCTGTTCAATACCCGGCCGCGTCTTACCAAGAGACGCTAAAATATGGTACTTGTTGTTACCCTGCCTGGTGCTCGTCATTAAGAGGCTAAAACAAGGACTGGTCGGCTGGGCATAGTGAGTGAGTTTGCAGTATTAAATCAGCATTCGTACGGACTAACAAACGCACACACACACACACACACACACACACACACACACACACACACACACACACACACACACACACACACACACACACACACACACACACACACACACATGCACACGCGCACATGCACACACACACGCACACACACACGCACGCACGCGCGCGCACACACACACACACACACACACACAAACCCCATTTCACCTCACATTTAAAAATCAGCAGGCATCAGGCCTACACTTGAACCCTTTCCTCAATTAACAAAAATATGCTGGCACATTGCTATTACGGTATTACTAAACTAAACAAGGGCATATTGTGAATTGAAGTGGAGGCTATTGACATACTCACTGCGACCCTGTTGTTGAACACCTTCACATGACACACTCTGGGTGTGACTGCCACAGGTAAAGAGAAGCTTGGTCTGGGTTCCTGTCGTGTTGAAGGCCCTTTCAGTGATGTCTGCTGTGGTGTGTAGAGGAGGTGTGGAATACGAATCCGTCACGGTCAGAAGCTCGAGCTGCATGTCCTCAGAGCAGAAGAAGCCTGTGATGTTCACTTTCAGCTCCCGTCCCACAGTCAGACTGCTGCTTTCCTGGACACTTACCATGTTGCAGGACGGGAACTCTGCGGACAACAACCCAAGCTGTTAGATCATTCAACTACTGAGCGAAGAACAAATGATGTTGGAAATCTGATTTTCCCAAGAATTTAAATTTTATAATAAATTTATCTTTTAGATACATGTATAGTGTATGAACTTAATCTAACCAAATATAACCGCGAGTTTTTGTGGGAGTGCCAAATTAATTCAAAACAGTTCCGCTATTGTAAGAATAAGTTCTTCCACTGCTCGTTGCAATCGTTTGGGTAGCCCAGTGGTCAAAGTGTTCACGCTGAAAATCCGGGTTCGATTCGCCCCTTGGGTATGCAGATACCTTTTCTGGTATCCTTGCTGTGATGCTGTTGCAATATTGCAAACGTGACGAAAAATCATACTCAATCACTAAACGAATTAAGTAAAACTCAAATCTCAAATGAACACTTCGTTCGTTCCTTTTCACTTACGGAATATAACGTAAACTCAGTGATGAATAAATACATTCAATAAAGTAATGAAACAATTTCAACATGGACCACCACACCGACAGCTGTTACTGGACTAAGACTAAGATAAGCGTTAGGTTGTCAGGATGCCCGTGTCTATCTGTTCGCGGGGCGGTCGGGTAACCTAGTAGTCAAAGCGTTCGCTCTTCACGCTGAAGACCCGGGTTTGATTTCCGACATGGATACAATGTGTGAAGCCCATTTCTGGTGTCCCCCGCCGTGATAGTGCTGGAATATTACTAAAAGTGGCATACACCCATACTCACTCACTCACACACTCACGCATCTGTTCGCTCTTACTGGCAACTGTCATGCGGCAAGTAGAAGGGCGCGGGTCATCTGCGTCTGCAACACAAGCCCAGTCTCCTCCATGCGACTGCAGCACGTTGGGTATGGTGAGGACACTGCTTGTAGTATTGATGACAGATGCTGTGAAGTCCCCCTGTGATACACATCTTCCATCTGCGAGATCACACGAGGCAGCAGGATGTCCACTGGGTGTTGAGTAGGAATGGACATTTAAGTTGTCTGCTTTATTACAGGTCAGATTGGCAGGCATACCCAACGGACTTATTTCAGGGCAAAAGACGTGTTCTGTACCTGTGAAGAAATGTTTTTTGTAGCGTTTCAAGACAATACAGACAAGACAAGTGATGATGATTGAGTGAATGGTATGTTTATAATTCAAATGTGTCAAGATCATTGTACAGCTTGTGTATACCGTATACCATGTTCACCAATTATTATACACTTAATGAATCAGTTAGGAAGGCGGATGAGCACACTCCACGACAACACCATCACATTCAGTGAGATGAATGAAAGATTTGTTTGTTAGTTTATTGTTGTTGACGGCGGTCTGTAAATAATCGAGTCTGGACCAGAAAATCCAGTGATTGACATCATGAGCATCGATCCATGCTGAAGACCAGGCAGAGGCTGATGAATGTGAACATGATCCCCATACCGAAGACAAGGGGGGACACCTGGAGCCGGCTGAGGACCATTCTGGAACACCATGACATGTACCAATATCCAGTGATTGACATCATGAGCATCAGTCCACGCAATTGACATGCATCAACCAAGTTAACAAGCCCGACCACCTGAGTCGCCTCTTACGACAAGCATAGTCGCTTCCTCAGGCAAGCATGGCTTTCTGAATACCCATTCTCTATGAATGAATGAATGAATGAATGAATGAATGAATGAATGAATGAATGAATGAATGCCAACGTATTCGAAATCAGTGATATCAACAAAAGAATGCACTGTATGACAACACCATCACAATCAGTGAGATGAAAGAAAATACGTACTGTATGACACCACCATCACTAGAAGCATCAGTATCAGGGCGTGGTCGCCATGAGTGTTGCTGCGTCTAGAAACCATCACCTGTAACACATCAGCAGTGTCAGTACTTTAGTTTCTGGTCACCATGTTCACTAATCACATACTACAAGACCACCGCCATAGTCAAGTGGTAGAGCGCCCGGAGTGCGGAAGGTCGGGGGCTCACTAATCACATACTACAAGACCACCTCCATAGTCTAGTGGTAGAGCGCCCGGAGTGCGGAAGGTCGGGGGTTCACTAATCACATACTACAAGACCACCTCCATAGTCTAGTGGTAGAGCGCCCGGAGTGCGGAAGGTCGGGGGTTCACTAATCACATACTACAAGACCACCTCCATAGTCTAATGGTAGAGCGCCCGGAGTGCGGAAGGTCGGGGGTTCACTAATCACATACTACAATACCACCTCCATAGTCTAGTGGTAGAGCGCCCGGAGTGCGGAGGGTCGGGGGTTCACTAATCACATACTACAAGACCACCTCCATAGTCTAATGGTAGAGCGCCCGGAGTGCGGAAGGTCGGGGGTTCACTAATCACATACTATAAGACCACCTCCATAGTCTAGTGGTAGAGCGCCCGGAGTGCGGAAGGTCGGGGGTTCACTAATCACATACTACAAGACCACCTCCATAGTCTAGTGGTAGAGCGCCCGGAGTGCGGAAGGTCGGGGGTTCACTAATCACATACTACAAGACCACCTCCATAGTCTAATGGTAGAGCGCCCGGAGTGCGGAAGGTCGGGGGTTCACTAATCACATACTACAAGACCACCTCCATAGTCTTGTGGTAGAGCGCCCGGAGTGCGGAAGGTCGGGGGTTCACTAATCACATACTACAAGACCACCTCCATAGTCTAATGGTAGAGCGCCCGGAGTGCGGAAGGTCGGGGGTTCACTAATCACATACTACAATACCACCTCCATAGTCTAGTGGTAGAGCGCCCGAAGTGCGGAAGGTCGGGGGTTCACTAATCACATACTATAAGACCACCTCCATAGTCTAGTGGTAGAGCGCCCGGAGTGCGGAAGGTCGGGGGTTCACTAATCACATACTACAAGACCACCTACATAGTCTAGTGGTAGAGCGCCCGGAGTGCGGAAGGTCGGGGGCTCACTAATCACATACTACAAGACCACCTCCATAGTCTAGTGGTAGAGCGCCCGGAGTGCGGAAGGTCGGGGGTTCACTAATCACATGCTACAAGACCACCGCCATAGTCTAGTGGTAGAGCGCCCGGAGTGCGGAAGGTCGGGGGTTCACTAATCACATACTACAAGACCACCTCCATAGTCTAGTGGTAGAGCGCCCGGAGTGCGGAAGGTCGGGGGTTCACTAATCACATACTACAAGACCACCTCCATAGTCTAGTGGTAGAGCGCCCGGAGTGCGGAAGGTCGGGGGTTCACTAATCACATACTACAAGACCACCTCCATAGTCTAGTGGTAGAGCGCCCGGAGTGCGGAAGGTCGGGGGTTCACTAATCACATACTACAAGACCACCTCCATAGTCTAGTGGTAGAGCGCCCGGAGTGCGGAAGGACGGGGGTTCTATCCCCGCCACGTCATACCAATAGACGTTAAAAGATGGTACCTGTTGTTACCCTGTCGGCACTAAGGGGCTAAAGCAAGGACTGGTTGTCTCGGAGTCAATATACTGTATGGTAGTGAAGTTAGAGAAGTCCATCCATCTAATATTCTCACTGTTCCTAAGGGATAGTTTGGTGCGGTCGGGTAGCCTAGTGGTTAAAGCGTTCGCTCGTAACGCAGAAGACCCGGGTTCGATTCCCGACATGGGTAAAATGTGTGAAGCCCACTTCTGTGATATTGCTGGAATATTGCTAAAAGCTGTGTAAAACCATACTCACTCACTCACTAAAGGATAGTTTACATCCAGATAGAAGCATACCAACTATTGTTGCTTCAGGCGAGTTCGCCCGCTGTTCTCTCAAAGTTACCAAAAATGTCAAAATTATGAATTTTCTGCTATTGAATCATGTTGATAGATTGTTAGACTTATAACGTGAGAAACTTATTGTTTAGCCTTGGCTTGGGATTAACTAAGAGAGAGTTGGTTGGTTTGTTGTTTAACGCCGCACTCAGCAATATTCCAGCTATATGACGGCGGTCTGTAAATAATCGAGTCTGGACCAGACTATCCAGTGATTAATATCATGAGCATCGATCCACGCAATTGGGATACGATGACATGCATCAACCAAGTCAGGGATCCTGACCACCCGATCCCGTTAGTCGCCTTCACGACAATCATAGTCGCATTTTACGGTAAGCATGGGTTGCTGAAGACCTATTCTATCCCGGATCTTCATGGGTCAACTAAAATAGAGCATGGTGTTTTCTTGGTGTGTTCAAACAGTGATGTCACAGATAATTTGGTTTATTACTCCGAGTTGTTTTTTAATAGAAATATTAACTATGTCTAGTGTATGAAAATCACCTGTCATCTGTGCATGTTGATACGCACCGTACATCACTTTGTAAGTTTCGAATTGTTCGAATCACAGTTTCATGATTGTTTGAATACTGATAATTTTATTCTGACCTAGGAAAGCGCGTTTCACAACCTTGCTACTGTACATTTTCACCGGAAAATGCCCTTGGTGTTCAGTACAAATTTACTGTCTTGCGAAATAATCGTTCTTTGGGTTGAAAATGATTTCCATGTATTACTGAGGTGCTTATTATGATTAATCTAAACTTTAGGCGCTCCAGAATAATTTCGTCAGTTACGCATATAATATAATACGTACGCACGCACGCATGCATGCACGCACGCATCCATGGCCTAATGACTTAAATTGCAATCAAAGCACTATTCTAAATATTTGTATTCAAGAAAGCTTACCCTCTGAGCTAGGGCTATTTCGTCAACGATCCTATAGAGCACACTATAAGTGTGATTATCGGCGCTATGTAAATACATATATTGTTAACAGACAGGGTAATTAATTTCAATATTCCTAAGTTAGATAACGTTAGATTTATTATGTTGAATGTTATTACATTTCTTCAAATAATTCTTAAAACAGTTGACAGAAACTGAAAACAGTAAGGAAAGAAAGCTACTTACTTCTTTGTTCTTTGGAGACAAGTGTCAGTTTTGCCTTCGTCGGATGCAACACCTGATAAGATGTTGCT